GTTTAAAAGCTTATTTTAATAGCTTATAAGTTTATTTTAATAGTTTATCATTAACCGGTCTGGATTTGTTAAAAGACCCGAAGACCGTGTAACCGGCCAAAAAGACCGGTCCTTAACCAGTCTTCTCAGGACCAAACCAACCCTAGTAACAACTAAGAAATCATTTTTTATTAATTTAAATTAAACTCACTCCAAAAATAATATATTATTACAGTATATTGCAATCATATTTTTGACTTCAATATTTTTAATATTTTTTTAGTCATAATTTAACCAGAAATGACTTTTTTGCTTATACACAAGATGAAAACGTCATGTTTAAAGAACCAATACGATAACACTGAAGTTTATTAATGTACAAATATCTTATATTTATCTAAATATGCCATATTGTTAATGATGCTACGTATAATTACACTTATGAACATTAAATACGCTTATACTAAAATTTGGTAATTTCACTCTCTCAACACTTAGTAACACTATAATTAGGGTTGACAACAAAATTGCACAACACTATATATCCTACCCCAAAACAAAATCATCCTTTAAATTATCAGCTTTTTTAATATACAAATTTATATAAACTTAATAATATTATATTACCATTATTCAGTAAACCCATTTTCTTCCATCAAGCACCTTTCAATCTCGACATTTAATGCCCAAACCCATTCTTCTCTTTCAAGCCTATTTCTAGCACGAAATATCCAGGCTTTACCAGAAGAATCTAACTTTGCTTTCTTTTGAAATTCAAGACCGATAGTTCCATGTCTTTCAATTACATGACGTTTGTTACCTTGCCAAACAACAAATGTACATTCATCGATATCATCAAAACAACACATTCCATCACTATATATCCTGGGCAAATAGCCTAATTTATGCGTATGGGGCAAATCATGATCAGTTAGATGACCCGAATATATATAACAATCTAATAAATTAATGATGCCTTTCCGCCTATGATAACTTCGATGATTTTTTCTCCCAACTATTGATCGGGAATGAAGTTGGTAAAATATTAAGCAACCTCTTGTTAAGACGTGATAATAATTCATGAAGGTGCCATAGAAATGAACCTTTTGATATAATAAACCAGATTTCTATAAATAATTTAAATTATAAGTAAATATTATACAAAATTATTATTATTAGGGAACGCCTAGTTCCACGGAAATTTGCTATTTCCACCATGCTTTTCATATGACTTTCAGCTGCATAAACATGACGAGCACATTGTCATGATAAATTACGTCTACCATTTTACGTGATAATAATTTCGTCATGTTCATGTAGCTAAAAGTCACGTGAAAAGAATGGTGGAAATAACAATTTCCATGGTGGAAATAGGCGTTCTAAATTATTATTAGAATATTTTAGAATATAATAATAAACTTACCGTAATACCTCGACATCCATTTAAAATGCACCAGTGCCAAATGGCTGTGCTGGCATATGATTGAAAACTATCCCAATGACCACAAAAACCATCACCAATATATGCACCATCATCATCGTAATCATTAAATTGATTATCTTTAAACATTCTAATTCGAATTTTTATATCATCTGCAAGTCGAGCTTTCCAGTATTTGACAAGTGCATTGAGACATTTCACCCACTCTTTCATGGTTGTTTTAGAATATGCCTACAAAAATCATGAAAATCATGAAAAGATCATGAAATGATGTTAAAGGGATGATGCTGACATTGGCTGATGCTGAAATTTGGAAAAACATAAGCCCTACTAAAATCCACATATACTTTTTAATTATCAGTAGAGTTTGGAGCCGGTTTTATTTTTCATATGTTAAAACCGGGTTAATCGGCTTTAACATATGAAAAATAAACCCGGTTCCAAACTCTAATTATCAATTATGATCCTAAATCCTAACCATCCTTTAAAAAAACGGAAAAAATCACCCCCAAAAATTTTTTTAATTTTTCATATAAAAATAGGTCCAGATTTCAGCTTCAGCCACCATAAGATATATTATGAATCGATGGAAAATACAGTAATTAGCAAAGAATTCACGTTCAAAATAGACAAACCTCTAAAACAATAGTCATTCCATTCAACATGACCAGTTCAAAAGGACATCCTTTTCCTTCGTATTTACGCTCTTTAGATTTATCTCCTACATTTTCATTTTCACATGTATCCTCATTATTATCGTTAATTAAAGGTCTTACTTCTTTAACATCAACTAAATTAATGAATCCATATGCGTTAAAAATTTGTTTAACGCGTCTTTTGACATCAGCCTTAATGAAAGCAGCGGCATTTTCATGTCCTTGAATGTGTGGGGCAACAGCATACATTATTGGTCGTTTTTTATTGAGTTTTTCGTCCTCTGTCGATCCAGACCCTGATGGTGGTGGTGGAGGAGGACTTGCAAAGGATGGATTCATGAAGAACAAATAATGATCGTGTGACGAAAAGTACAGTCGTTTTGACTTGTTTTTACGGCCTTTATCATTTGTGACTCTAATAAGATATCCTTCAACTGGCGGTGGTTCCTAAAATAGGAAGAATTTAATATTTACAAAATAAGTAAATTAATATTAAAGAAACATATATATATATATATACCTGCAATTTAGTTTCATCGGGTAACGTTACGGATGTTGGATAATGTTGCGTGCATCGTAATTGTAATTGATGTGTCTACGTATTAAAAATGTACATGATAAGAATAAAATATGTAAAAATATGTAAAGATAACCAAAATTCAATAGGAAATAAGAAAAATAAAAAACATACTCCTTCAATAAATTGCGGACATGCTAATAAGTCATTTCTATCTTTTTCACTATCATTTTTTTCCCAAACAATCCATTCTATTCGATCATATCTTTTCCAACATCCGTAACGTTACCCGATGAAACTAAATTGCAGGTATATATATATATATATGTTTCTTTAATATTAATTTACTTATTTTGTAAATATTAAATTCTTCCTATTTTAGGAACCACCGCCAGTTGAAGGATATCTTATTAGAGTCACAAATGATAAAGGCCGTAAAAACAAGTCAAAACGACTGTACTTTTCGTCACACGATCATTATTTGTTCTTCATGAATCCATCCTTTGCAAGTCCTCCTCCACCACCACCATCAGGGTCTGGATCGACAGAGGACGAAAAACTCAATAAAAAACGACCAATAATGTATGCTGTTGCCCCACACATTCAAGGACATGAAAATGCCGCTGCTTTCATTAAGGCTGATGTCAAAAGACGCGTTAAACAAATTTTTAACGCATATGGATTCATTAATTTAGTTGATGTTAAAGAAGTAAGACCTTTAATTAACGATAATAATGAGGATACATGTGAAAATGAAAATGTAGGAGATAAATCTAAAGAGCGTAAATACGAAGGAAAAGGATGTCCTTTTGAACTGGTCATGTTGAATGGAATGACTATTGTTTTAGAGGTTTGTCTATTTTGAACGTGAATTCTTTGCTAATTACTGTATTTTCCATCGATTCATAATATATCTTATGGTGGCTGAAGCTGAAATCTGGACCTATTTTTATATGAAAAATTAAAAAAATTTTTGGGGGTGATTTTTTCCGTTTTTTTAAAGGATGGTTAGGATTTAGGATCATAATTGATAATTAGAGTTTGGAACCGGGTTTATTTTTCATATGTTAAAGCCGATTAACCCGGTTTTAACATATGAAAAATAAAACCGGCTCCAAACTCTACTGATAATTAAAAAGTATATGTGGATTTTAGTAGGGCTTATGTTTTTCCAAATTTCAGCATCAGCCAATGTCAGCATCATCCCTTTAACATCATTTCATGATCTTTTCATGATTTTCATGATTTTTGTAGGCATATTCTAAAACAACCATGAAAGAGTGGGTGAAATGTCTCAATGCACTTGTCAAATACTGGAAAGCTCGACTTGCAGATGATATAAAAATTCGAATTAGAATGTTTAAAGATAATCAATTTAATGATTACGATGATGATGGTGCATATATTGGTGATGGTTTTTGTGGTCATTGGGATAGTTTTCAATCATATGCCAGCACAGCCATTTGGCACTGGTGCATTTTAAATGGATGTCGAGGTATTACGGTAAGTTTATTATTATATTCTAAAATATTCTAATAATAATTTAGAACGCCTATTTCCACCATGGAAATTGTTATTTCCACCATTCTTTTCACGTGACTTTTAGCTACATGAACATGACGAAATTATTATCACGTAAAATGGTAGACGTAATTTATCATGACAATGTGCTCGTCATGTTTATGCAGCTGAAAGTCATATGAAAAGCATGGTGGAAATAGCAAATTTCCGTGGAACTAGGCGTTCCCTAATAATAATAATTTTGTATAATATTTACTTATAATTTAAATTATTTATAGAAATCTGGTTTATTATATCAAAAGGTTCATTTCTATGGCACCTTCATGAATTATTATCACGTCTTAACAAGAGGTTGCTTAATATTTTACCAACTTCATTCCCGATCAATAGTTGGGAGAAAAAATCATCGAAGTTATCATAGGCGGAAAGGCATCATTAATTTATTAGATTGTTATATATATTCGGGTCATCTAACTGATCATGATTTGCCCCATACGCATAAATTAGGCTATTTGCCCAGGATATATAGTGATGGAATGTGTTGTTTTGATGATATCGATGAATGTACATTTGTTGTTTGGCAAGGTAACAAACGTCATGTAATTGAAAGACATGGAACTATCGGTCTTGAATTTCAAAAGAAAGCAAAGTTAGATTCTTCTGGTAAAGCCTGGATATTTCGTGCTAGAAATAGGCTTGAAAGAGAAGAATGGGTTTGGGCATTAAATGTCGAGATTGAAAGGTGCTTGATGGAAGAAAATGGGTTTACTGAATAATGGTAATATAATATTATTAAGTTTATATAAATTTGTATATTAAAAAAGCTGATAATTTAAAGGATGATTTTGTTTTGGGGTAGGATATATAGTGTTGTGCAATTTTGTTGTCAACCCTAATTATAGTGTTACTAAGTGTTGAGAGAGTGAAATTACCAAATTTTAGTATAAGCGTATTTAATGTTCATAAGTGTAATTATACGTAGCATCATTAACAATATGGCATATTTAGATAAATATAAGATATTTGTACATTAATAAACTTCAGTGTTATCGTATTGGTTCTTTAAACATGACGTTTTCATCTTGTGTATAAGCAAAAAAGTCATTTCTGGTTAAATTATGACTAAAAAAATATTAAAAATATTGAAGTCAAAAATATGATTGCAATATACTGTAATAATATATTATTTTTGGAGTGAGTTTAATTTAAATTAATAAAAAATGATTTCTTAGTTGTTACTAGGGTTGGTTTGGTCCTGAGAAGACTGGTTAAGGACCGGTCTTTTTGGCCGGTTACACGGTCTTCGGGTCTTTTAACAAATCCAGACCGGTTAATGATAAACTATTAAAATAAACTTATAAGCTATTAAAATAAGCTTTTAAAC